AAATGTCTATATGAAAGGAAATAGGAGAGAATCGGGGAAGACTAAGCAAGCTGTAAGAAAACAGTGCAAGTCTGGCCCCAAGTGAAGGACAGAGGGAGAGTAGGTTGACAGAAACATCCTAGATGTCTGTACAGTCCAAGGAAAGTCCTTGAGCCAAAGCTGGCACATGAAGGAAAGGAGTCTTATATTCCCCAGGAATGAGTCTGCCTTGGTGTCGCTCCCACATTCAGTCTTAGGGCTTGGGAAGGGAGCCTGCCCTAGGCCAGTCCACTGTAGCCAGAGGAGAGGGTCATATTAAGAAAAAAAAAAATGGCCATTCCCACCATAATCACATAGCAGATAGGATGTGGTGGTTTCCACGAAAAAAACAAGAAGCTGGGCTAACCAACACTGTGTCCAGTCTACATACCTCTCATTTTTTTGTTGTTGTTAAAGAGGCAGCCACTCCATCAGGAGCACCAGTCTCTCAAAATGTGCACCTTGACCTCTGGTTTTAAAAGTCACATTCCAAAGTGCTGAGTAAAATCACATGACACTCATTCGGCTTGGCTCCCAGAGAGGAAAGGCTGACCTAACTCTCCTGAATTTGAGCTTGTGATTTCCCGAAGGAAAGAGATATCAAAGTTGGTACTGAGACATCTAAATTGTCCTCCACAATTTCATGTCTGCAGACCGAGCCAGCAAAATAGCAAGAGCCTATCCTTTTGAACAGGCAAAGTGCTGAGGCCTGGACCATCTTTTCAAGCATCCACTGCTCTTTCTCCACCAACCCCCATGTTTCCCTTTTTAAGATAAAATCAGTGCCAAGTTAGGACCTTATGCTGTATAATGGACCAATATTCCATGCTGGATGGTATTTTCCCAGAATTTTTATAGGATGCCAGGCTTTTCTTAGAGTTTATGTCATAAAATACATTCAACTTGTTTGGAGTGGGTAGAAGTGGAAATGTAGTCTATTGAAAATATCCCTGCTTTCTCTCTGGAATTTAAAAAATCCTATTATCATCCTTCATTTCAATTCTGTCTCTCAAGCAAAAAAATCTCATAAAGATAGGCAAGGAGAAAAGAAGAGTTTACAATACCCACGGGGTTAGCTTTTGCTCACTGAATACTATGCTACTCTCCTCTATCAATAACCATACAAATGGGGCTCAGCTCACACTTGTGGTCAGGATGGCACCCATCCCCTAAACCAGCATCTACCACCATCGGGGATCAGAGGAAACTCATGAAATCATCAACTACAGCTACTGGACAGATATTGGGACCTTGAGGCATGAGATGTTGTTTTACCTCTTGGGGAGGCAGCAAATGTTAATCCAGATTATTATTACTGCCATTGTTATTAGCTCTCAGTGACCTTCTTAATCAAAAAGTTTGTGGATAGCGCCCTGGCTGGTGTAGCTCAGTGGATTGAGTGCAGGCTGTGAACCAAAGGATCACCAGTTCAATTCCCAGTCAGAGCACATGCCTGGGTTGTGGGCCAGGTCCCCAGTGGATGCCACATGAGAGGCAACCACACATTGATGTTTCTCTCTCTCTTTCTCCCTCCCTTCCCCGCTCTCTAAAAATAAAATAAATAAAATCTTTAAAAATAAGTTTGTAGATAGCTTTCTTCTGAAATGCTAGGAGCTAGGATTAGACCTAAGAGATATCAGGAGAATGTGAATGACCCCTTTAAGTTGTTTTCTGGCTTCGTAAATATCTATGTATGGTACCTAATGTGTAATAACATATATTACAAAACGAAATCCTTCTCAAACTCATTTCCCACTGAGTTGGTCAACTCTTTCTTCAGAGAAATAAATTCCCTCATCCAACCCTGGTGAGCTAAAGAACCAACATTAAAAAAAAAACCAACTTACCTTCCCTGGTGTCAATAGGAAACAATATTTACTCACTACTGTTCTCCTTTCAAAAATCTGTCTAGCTGCGTACTAGAAACAGCTTCAGCTGGTTTGTTTGTCTTGGACAAGCTGTTGAAGTGAAAAGTTTTTGCTTGGTTGAATGTGGGACAGTTTCATAACCCTTCAAGAAGTGCCCTGAAGGTGGGAGCCAGCTCCGATGGCTGCCCCTGACATGCCTCCACTTGCTGCCCATGGTCAAGGGTGGCCAGCACAATTAAATGAACACAATGAGCAAAGCAACAGATGCAACTGAGACCAAATCCCTGAGTGCTTTTGTTTTGTCACTGTCATTGTCTGCAACAAAGAAGTCACATGCGAGAGCCTGGGAAGGGAGCCAAACGCAAACCAGACGACATCCCAGCTGGTTTTGAATGGCCTCCACCGAACGTGTGTGTGCATGGGAACCGTGCTGCTCGGAGCCGACTCGGCTCTCCTCAAGGGAGTCTCTGCCCACAGCTTTGTTGCGATGCCGACACAGGCCCGGAAGAAATCGGCTGGATCCCTCTGTCCAGACTTTACACCTCAGCTTTGGGACAACATGAAAAGACTCTCCCTGTCGGGGAAAGGATAACATCTATGTGGTGGACCAATCTAACCTCAGGTCCTTTTGCCTCAGCATCATGAATGTGAAGAGTGAAGCATAGAAGATATTCAAATTTCTTCTTCTGCAAAGCTGGGATTTAATGTAGCTTGAGATGAAGATGAAAGATTAAACACCTCATGTGGCTTTCTTTCAATTTATTATTTCATTCTTGAGTATTTTCCTAGTTTGGGTATTTTCCAAAGTCTTAAAAATATCTTTTTTTTTCTCTAAGTTGGTATACCTCTTAAACAGAAAAAGGTAAAACTCAAATTAGCATATTTTTAGACTTGTTAATTTGGTCAGTAGTTTGGTGGAGAGGCTAAGTATCCTTAATAATAACTGTTTGGAGTTTCAATTGTCACATACCTAATCAGCAGAGTTTGCTGAGAATTGAACAGAAACGTTTCAAGGTATTTGGGGTGACAGTGATCCTACTATGTGGCCCCATATGTATTTCTGCCATTTTTCTGAGGAACTCCTCTAAGAAAGTAAAATAAGATGTAAGATTAGAAATACAAATTTACTGGTAGTTTAACAGTAGATGCTTTATTCAGCAAGGAATACATATTAAGTGGGCTTAATAAATGGTCTACGATATTTCGGGAAGTGCCAGGATTTTAAACAGATGGCATTTCCAGCTATCCTATACAGATGACCAATTTCTTTCCATAAACTTTCTTTTCAGTGGCCCCTGAGCTAGATATTTTAATAAGCGTTTTTACACAATGATGCCATCTTCCTTCTATTCTGTCACCGTAAGATATTGACCATTAACTTACAAAGTACTAACTGGCTTTTATGAAGGACTTGGTGATAACTCCAATATTCCAGGTAGAGCTGAAAAACATGGGTTAGAAACAATGACCAGCCCTGGCTGGTGTGGCTCAGTGGATTGAGCACCAGCCTGCAAACCAAAGGGTCGCCAGTTTGATTCCCTGTCAGGGTACATGCCTGGGTTGTGGGCCAGGGCCCCAGTAGGGGGCGCGTGACAGGCCACCACACATTGATGCTTTTCTCCCTCTCTTTCTCCCTTCTCTTCTCTCTGAAAATTTATAAATAAAATAAATGTTAAAAACAAAAACAAAAAAGAAAAATGACCAAATCCCTATGGGCCTTAGCCCAAGGATTAGTAGTTGATTCTGCCTCAGCTTCTCACCCACTCCAGGCATCACGTCCAAGTAAACTTAAAGGTCCCTTACAATGGTCTGTAAGCTCCTAACAATGATCGGGTGAGTGATTACCTTAGCCAGAAGGAAGAATTTGGGGATCCCAGCCACCGTGGAAAGAACTATTGTTTTTGGTCTTAACAGAAACCTGTTCTCAGATAAAGGGCCACTGTGGATTTGAAACCCTGTTCTATACCAACAATCACTCATTACATTCTCCTAGAAGGGCCTCCTGGCCAGAGTTGAAACCAAGAGAAGAAACACCTAATGACAGGTGTTTCATAGGTGTTTCAAATGCCACTTCCTCCTGGGTTTTATTTCACATCTCATGTATCTAAATAAACGTTGCTGTTTAAATATATTTGAGTATACTATAACTATAGGAAAAGTATAATAACTTGATTATCAAACACGCATTTGTTCATATATTTAATTCATTCTATAGCTAGGTACTGAACACCTGCAGAATCCTGACCACTATTCTAAACATAGGCTGTAACTGTGCAAACAGCCAAGTGCCTACTATCATAGAGTTTCTGTCCTAAGGACAATGTAGTATTCCTTGGAGGAAACCATTGCTTGTTGATGAGTGAATGGTAGCGCCAAAGAAGGAACCCTGGAATTTTAGTCCAGGCATGGTTACTTTCCAATAAAAATAAAATACCGATAACAAAAGGAGTAAGATGGATGATGATGATGATGTTGATGATGATGATACTAATGTAGTACTTGCCATGTGCCAGACCTATTATAAGTGCTTTCATGTACTAAGTCTTTAATCCTTAATCCTACAAGGTAAAAACTTTGTCTGAGATGCCACAGACTCCAGATCAATTACAAAGTTTCCCAATCTTCTACTTCTAAAACTATGTCTTTCTCCAAAGGGCAAAAAGGAAGACATAAAAAAAAGAAATATCCTCTTTTGACAAAAATTAAAACATAGCAAAGTGCAATAAAACCACAGATGATAATCCCGAAATATGACTTTTTTTCCTCACTAGGAAAAGATGCTATAAGCCAGGAGACTGAATTTTTCAGGATCTCCTTTCTATCCCTAAGTCGGTGATAGCAGCAGATGAATAGAAACACATGTTTGCATGGTCATAAAGCAATCTGTGGTCCCCGTGCCACCAGGGGCACATAGAAGTAGCTTGAGTGAGATTTAGCTAAAAGCCTATTTCCTTAAATACATTTTTTCTCTGAAAAACCTGGCCCAAGCTCTCTGCTAGGTTGACTGGTAAGGCATAAGATATAAAAGGCTGAAACTCAATGTTAGAAGTAGATGATGGGTAAGGTATATAAAAATTCCCCAAGTTAATGGCACTTTTTCTCTCTTGTTTTTAGGAAGTACATTTGAAGAACGCAAGTAGAGGGAATGCAGGAAATAAGAATTACAGAATGTAGGAAGACCTTCCTGAGGAGTGAAGAATGACATGCCACCGGCAGGGTCCTTTGCTGTGCATGAGTTACCTGTAAAGCACCAGAAAATCTACCAAAAAATAAGTTCGATAACTTTCAAAAAATGAGCATTCCCCCCAATGAAATACACGAGTAAACATTACAAACATTGTCTTTAGAAGTGATTGTTAAAAGCTTTGCACCTTGCAAAAAAAAAATGGTCCTGGAGTTGGTAGATTGCTGTTGATCCTTTATCAATAATGTTCTATAAAGAAAAAATATATCTATATATCTATATATATATAAATATATATCTTAGTCCCTGCCTCTCAAGAGCCACAAATGCATGGGTGTTGTCTAGATCCAGTTGCACTAAATTTGTCTCTGAATCTTGGCTACTGGAGCCATTCATTCAGCAGTCTTGTCTAAGTGGTTTATTAATTTTTTATTTGCACTTCTTTCTACACAACACAGGTTGTTTGTTTTACAGTATCTGATGACCTTGTTTGTCTGTCTCCACCCACCCCCCTTCATCACCTTACATTTGCCAAATTTGGCCTCTGCCATAGCAGCAGCAAGCAGTCAAGTGGCATACCGATTTTTAATCCACGAGATTCTATCTGTGGCATTTATACCAAATATAAGTTGGATGCCTTTATTTTAGACACAAAGCTTTATTTTTCCACATCTTGCTTAAAAAAATGCAAATAGTTGCAACTTTGAGGCCAAACATTTTTAACTGTATGTGTTAAGCATAGAAAGTCTCAAACTCTCAACAGTTCCTTCAAATGATGAGTTAGTGTGCGACCTAATTAGCAACTTCTCCCTCTTAATTTTGTCCATATAGAGCACTATGTAAATTTCACATATCAACAATACCGGATATATCAAACAGTATGTAAAACTCTCTTTTTTAGGACAATGGTGCTATTTTGTAGTTTGTTATATGAGAGAATCTGGCCAAAACGGTAAAAGGTGAAAGCAAAACAAAAGAGGATGCCTGGACCCAGAGATGACACAGAGGGGAAGGGTACTAATGATCCACCCACGCGGGAAAGAAGGCAAAGTATCCCCGATTATGCCTTCCAAGAGAAACTGAAGACACAAAGTCCACCGATGCAAATTTGTTTGGCGAGTCCAGCAAGGAGTGGGAAAAACAGAAGGCTAGGAGTTGAACAGCCCTGGTTTCTTTTTCTCACCGAAGAACAAACATCTGCCGACTCGGCCACGGACTCACCACTTTGTGACCTTGGGCAAGTCACTTCACCTCTCTGTGCCTCAGTTTCCTCATCTGCAAAATGGGGCAATATGTCATCTACCTACCTCACAGGGGTGGTATGAGGATTAAAAAGATAAAGCTCCAGATTATTATCCTGGGTTGCTATGAAGGTGCAAATTCAGAGCCCTCGAGTTGCTGGGGTGCAAGGAAATCTATAAACAACCCATGTAGAGCACAGCTAGGAAATTGATTAGCCTAATGTTCCCGACACGCCAATTTTTGTCAATAAAGCTATTCCATTATGTACCCAACTAGCTAGTTGTGAAAAGCTAGCAGCTTGAGCTCTTCTAAAATATTTTCAAACTAAGTTAGAGACATTTGATTAACAACTATTTTGAATTCTGCATTTGGGTTTATAAATAGGAAGCAAAAGGAAAGGAAAAGAAAAAAGGACAAAAACAAAAAGATTTTTACCAACAAAAGGGTGATTAGTCAATTTGTTAACACTCACTGAGTGTTCCAAGCAGTTACTAGAAATCTAGTAATAGTTCTTTTAATATTATAAGTGATACTCAGTTCATTTTGAAAAACAGAGGTATTCGTTTTTTAGGCAATATTAAAAATGGCCCAAGATTTCAACTATCGAACTAATAGCTAATAAAAAATAATAGTTCCTTTCTTTGATAAATTTTCCTTTTATCCTTGGCCATGTATGTATATATATTTATATACATATATATATTTTAAATTTTTTGTTAAAATAGACTTGAGCAGAGTTGCTAGCCAAGAAGCAAAAATTTCCTTCATGAGTAGAAATTCTCCCGCATGTCTGCCTAGAAGAGTGGCCCCAGCCTTCCATGGATGTGTCTTATCCATTCAGCTAAAAATTGGTATCAAGAAAACCCAATGGCGAGGACAAGCCCGTAGTGACCTAAAAAATGTTTCCTGTCTATGTACCAAGATTTTATTAGAACAATGAATCACCCACCATTTGGATCTTTTATCTGCCCTATAACTTTTGGATGAAAAGCAACCAGGTTTGATTCTTTCATGTATATTGTGTCCCTTTTATTATTGGAAAATATATATGGAAAACAAAAATGACATCTTTAGTTTTCATCCCACTGGTTCACCTTAAGGTTCAGAGGCCAGAAATAAAAATAAATACATACATACTTCCTGAAACTCAGAACATATGCAAAAAGAAGATCTGTTTGGTGGGTGCTCCTGCTCAGCCAACAAGTATTTTAACCCGCAGTGTTATTTGAATTGAGCATCTCAGGCATGCTGAGCAACGTTCTGACCACTATGGACAGATGTAAAAGAAACCAGAAGTCATTTTTACCCTTCATCTGTTTTCCAGACATATGGGTTCTGTGGAGCGAGGTGCTGCACCTCTCTTTTCAAAATGGCACTTCTAATTTTTAGTTTTTGTTCCCAGAGTATACCTTTTTAAGTTATTGACTCCCAGCAACACTTTATGCCATCTTCTGCTGCCCTACAGGCTTCCAGATCTGTAGGGATTATGGGATGGGATGATTCTGAAAGTGTCTATGACTTACTTGATTGACTTAGTAATTCTATTCAGGGTCCAAATGCTCTGGTGAGGAAAGCTTAAATAGGCAAAGACATCATCTTTCTTAACTTTTCCCAACACATAATCCTCTCCAACTGTAGTAAGTCATCTAATTAAAAATTAACTAATGCTTATATTAACCCACTATCTTGTTTTCAAATGAATTAAAATGAAAACTAGGAGACAATTTCTTGTAAACTCCGAAAGTCAGTTTATCTCCATATACTACAGCAGAACAACCCAGGATGGACAGAAAGGGAGCAACTAAAAGTTCACAACTAAAAACTTTATAAGCTTTGCTCCAGAATTTTAAAGTGAAGCAATTTCAAGATATGCGTGAAACAGTCATAAATATTAGTAAGAACTGGCTTTCAACTTCATAGGCTTGTCAGTTAAATAATGATACCGAATGCCTCTCTCAAATTTTTGTTCCCATTTCCCCAAATAGTATAATGACATTGTTGAAACACTTTAAGACAAGGAGGCTCCATTGAAAAAGCTAACGCATCTCTCCATGAGAATCCACTCTTCTAGAGCTAGAGAAAAACTCTTCCAACACGTCATACACTCACACACTCAGAGCCCAATGCAATATTAAGGAAAAAAATCCCTGTTTTGAGAAATCTTATTTAAAAAAAAAAGGCTGGCCTCCCTAAGAATCCTTCCCCTCCTGGGGATGTCACTGTTTGTGTGGATAAAAGCATCTCATGCCCTGCGGCTCCAGGGTTTCTGTTACTAGTTTATGCACTTGGGAGTATGATTAAAATGGATGATGTAGCACAGTTTTGCTTTCCCATTTATTGTTTGGCCAGCTATGCCAATGTGGTGCTATTGTTTCTTTAAGAAAGTACTTGACTAAAAAAAAAAGGAAAAAAAGAAAAAAAAGAAAGCATAGACATATTTTTTTAAAGTATAAAAACAACAATTCTATAGCTAGATGGCTTAATAAGGCAGCATTTGGTCTAGTCACCACCACCTTTCAACTGTTTATCGCTCACAAGTTGCGGACTGTTCACCAAATTGTGAGTTTGGGGGTGTAGGGGCAGAAGATGGAAATTGTTTAGAATCAGAAGGCTCCATTATTTTGTTGGCTCTCAAACTCAGCAAAATCAGCACTATGTTACCCAATCTGAACACCTTGATCAGAGCATGGAATATAAATGGGGGGAAAATACCTTATAGGCAAATGGCAGAACTAAACAAATGATTACTTACTGATTTTTTTTTGGTGCTCTCTGCTCTAAAACAGATATTCAGCAAGTGGAGAAAATAAAAACAAAAAGAAAAAAATGCATAGATTCACCTGCTAAAAATAGCTTCTGCCACATCTCCTTGAGTCAATTTTTGGCATTTATTAGTTTATAAAATATAGTCTCCCTTCATCTAAACATCTCAAAGAGCAATAGCTCCCATTAAAAGCAATCACTGATCTCATTGGGAAATGTTGGAAAGCATTTGCTTTTGAGATGGGGGTTATCTACTGTTAAGGAAAGAGAAGAATTTATGGGAAATTGTTGAAAGAGATGGCTAACAATCTGTGAAGATTTTTTTGTTATTGATTTCTATTTTATACAGTCTTTATGAATATCGAAGTATTCAAAGATGACTCGGTTCTTTCTTCTTTTTTTCATATTGGAATGAGGGATGATAAGTTACACCCACGTAGACTCTTTAAAACTATAGGCTAGATAGAAATGTACGTTCGACGTGTTAAAACTATAATCAGACTATTTAAAATGGTTTTGCTATTTCTAATCTTAAAAGACCGTGCTAATTTATTAGAGACAGATCCTGTTGGGCTCTCTTCATGAGAAAGAACCTTCCCACTCACATCACGTGGGCCTTCCCAGCAATGTTTTCAAAAGATAAATCTGACTTATGCATCATTATGGCATCATTTACTTTACATTTTTAAAATTTTCAAATTTAGAAGAATTGTGATTCTTTATATCCCTCTCCTCCAATGATCATAAAGTCCAGAATCTGAGAGGGCAAAAACAAGAAGAAAATTTTGTTGGTTCCTTGTTTCTGGTTTGTTTGTTTGTTCGTTCGTTTTCAATGCTAGTATTTAATCCTATAATACATATTTGCTTATTGATATTTTAATATTCTAGAAGACTTTCCTGTTAGGTATTAGAAACTGATGCATAGATATCTTTTTTGTATTTCTATTTTTTTTTAAGAAAAGGGAGATGAGAAGACTGTCTGAAGCTTTAAGTGCGTATGGTACAAGATAAAGATATCAATTTAAATGGCCCAGTCCTATCTGGTATAGTACTTTTTTTAGGAAACCTCTCATAGGTAAGACAGAGGCCCAGAGAATTTTTGAAACTGTCTTTATTCCTCCCAGTCCTTATTCATTGAGTATCAGCCTCAAAATTTTATAAAGGACTGGCCAAGCAGAAGCCCTAGAATTAAAGGGACCTCTTTGAAAACATACATTTTACATGTTGCCTCTTAATTTATGATTACATATTGATTTTAAACACGGTCCTTCCTTCTCCATTCCTCAGCTGCCATCGGTAAGGCCTATCAAGAGGGGAAAAACATTTTTTAATAAAAAAAGGGAACACAAAAGTCCAAATATCACTGCCCCTTTCAAATATGAGTTCACATGGAGGAGAGAGAGTTCCTCTTAATTAACCCCTACAGAATCACCTCCAAAATGACCTTTCACAATCCTTAGAATCTGCCCTTTTTTAATTTCCCAGGCTAACTGTACCCTAAAATTATACTTTATCCATTTTCTTTTGCCCAAAATGCACCGGTTGTAAAAGTAGGAAAAAGGAAACCAGGACTCACAAATCCCTTCCAAGCCACCCATTGGCCCCACTCACTCACCCGTGGGGAAATCACTTCTGGTAATCCCTTAATCTGATTTCCTTTGGGTATTTATCTTGTACCTGCTGCTATACACACTGCAGGAGGGATTCTGAAACCTCGAGCTGTCTACTCACATCTCTTATCTGTGTCTGTGTATCATTAATATGTCTATTCAAAACAGCAAAACCTTTCAAACATGCAGCTTATATTCAGTTTACATAAGGGCCCCAAATACCATGTCGTATCTCTTTTTACAAAGAGGGCTGATAAACTATGACAAATGGGATTACATCACGCGTTGTGCTTCAGATGCTTTTATCACACTTATAGGCTAAGAGTGATAAATAAACTTACAGACACTGAATTAATTTGCCCTGCTACTTTGGAACCAGAAAATAATGATTGGTCATTCATTATGTCGTAGTTCAAAATCATATTTTTTATTAAATTAACTCTGATTGTATTTGAAATTATTATTCATTTATGGCAGAAGAATATCAATCCTAATGACTTCTAAAAATGTAACTAACTGAATCATTATCTTACATTTACTGTTTAATAAGCATATTTTGAAAATGTATGGCTAGAGCGTCATAATAAAATTATATATCTTTCTTTAGTAATTACATTAAAATTAATCATGTTTGATTAATTAGTTCTTTTGGACAATGTTGGTGTAATGTGTCATTCCTGAAGAATTCTACTGTTATATAGCATTTTTATTAATTAAAGTCATTGCAACAAATAAACATGAAAACTTACCCAGAAAAATAAAACTAATCATACACCAGAATGAAGATATCTTATAGAATTTACAGGTTATATGTAAAAACAAATATGCTTCAAAGAACTTGTACAAACTATATGAGATGCATGAATTGTAAAATATCTTCATTAACAATAAAGCAGGTTTAAGTAACTGACCCCATTCCCATAACTCATTCCAATAATGAGTTATTATCCATGACACAAAGCATTTGGGGAAAAGATTTTCTATCATATATGTGGCACATGTAATATACAAGTAGCACTTCATACATTTCCATGTTGAGAGATTTTATAAGAATGTAATCTCTCAGCGTTAACTTTTTACTGAATAGGTACTGTGAATATCAAACTCAAGGCAGCATTTGCAGAAGACAACGTAGAAAGATTAGCAATTTCCTTTTTGTTTAAAAGCATCTCACTTCATTTTCCTTTTCTTAAACCCTCTGTGAGCTATTTGTAAAATAAAGGCTCACAAGCTTTGTGCTTGACTTTGGGTAACTCACAACCATACTGGAGTTTTCTTACTTATCTTCTCTCATGCAGCTCACCATCACTTCCAACTTTATTTCCTCAAAGTTTCCGGGGCTCGCCCCAGGACTAACATTCTCGAGCCATCTCATCCTCTCTGTGCTCAGCGTCTTGCCTCCCATGGCCATGAGCTTCCAAACGCATTGCTTCTCCATACCCTCTAGCCTGGACAATACTTTTCTCCCTTCCCTTTTCATTCATTCACACTAAGCTAATCGGGGTACAGCCTTTCACTGAAGGTTTTATAGATGACAAAGTGGGAAGGCGGATAAATACAGGGCACAAAATGGCTGCCAGTGCCAAACCATCGCTGTTACTAAATTCCACAAAGGAACTTCTGGCTGGCTCATTTGCCTCCTGTCATCTTAGTAAGATCCCTTCTTCTCTTCTGCAAACTTTCCCGGGAATTACTTTCTATCCAACCCTTCATCCTCTCTCTTACAAAGAACTTACAGGAAGGCCCTGCTATCTTCTTATGCAGAGAAATCTTTCCCCACCACAGCTTCACTTGGTAGGGGGGAAGGGGCAGGGCACCACTCACCTTTTAATACTGAATATGGTGGAAAGGTGTTTTTTTCCTAAACAAAAGAGCAATTTTTACCCTGAGAGGAATTCTGTCTTCCTTCAAGGTCATCTAGGTCAAAACACAGCCTCTTTTGAACAGGACATTATTTTTTCCCTGTAAGATATGCATGAGTGATCATTGCCACCACACCCCAACAATAATGATGGTTAATAGTTGCCAAGCACTTACTATGGATCAGTCACTATGCCAAGTGGTTTGTCTATATTATCCCAGTGGTCCTTACAGAAATTCTCTGTGTCAGGCACTGTTATGAACCCAGTTTGACAGATTAGAAGATGGAGGCTCAAAGACATAGTTTCCTGAAGGTCACGAACAGTTGAGGCACACTGGAGTCTGGGTCTGAGGTCATCAAAACCTGCATTTTTCCTAGCCAGTCACAGGGACAGTTCCATATTCTGACGAATACATTTTTGTTTAAATTTGGTTTTACAGACTACAGGCAGATGGATAGCTAATGGCACCTTTGAGTGATAAGCTATTTTTGAATAGGATGGTATTAAGATAAATAAGCATTTCTGCCCCATAACCAACATCTCTAATCAGGTTTTCCACCTCACCCACTGCCACTTGTTGCCCCTCAGGTCGCGTCTGTGACATCTAATGGTAAACCCATCTCAGGGTACCTCAGTGAGAAAGGGTGTATCTTGGGCCCTTATAGAGCCCAGAAATAAACCTTTCCACATAAGTAAAGCTAGAAGCTGATCATAAAGAATCTTTCCAAAAGTCCTGGCAACTCCACACCAATATGTGGTCTCAAGGGACACAGCTGAACCAGGACTTTCAAACTGTGGACTCACAGAGTGAGCTTTGTGAGACCCATATTCCTATATCCCTGCCCTTCCATAAGGCCTTAGTCATCCGCTCCTCAGGTTCCCAGTAGGTACCACACTAGCCCTTAATGGCATTTTGGAAAGGTGCAGGGACACTTGGGGTTGTCATTCACCATGACTGAGGAGGGCATTATTGGCGTTCACTGAGGAGGGGTCAGGGCTCCAGACATTTCATGTAGCTGACAAACCTATTTATAATCACCTAAGCCTAGAATTAGAGACATAAGCCTAGAATATAACTTCAATTAACTTATAAACTCATTTCATGATTTCAATAGAAGCTGGATTTTCCAGAAATACAATTGCCACATTAAGTCAAGGGGAAGGTGGTACTTGATTTCATTTGGAACTTTACCAAGTGTTGTCCGCTGCTGCAGAAAAAAAACGTCATGGATGGCAAGGTTAGTAATGGTTGGAATCTCTCCACTCTCCACCGGTGTCAGTCCGCCGACAGCCGTCACAGCCAGGACTCACCTCGTAGGGATTAACATCTGACCACTTCATCTCATTCTCAAGTAGAGTTGTGCCTGAGAATTTCTGTCTTGTAAGGCACGTTATTTTATTACAAATAGTTTTCATTTTACTTCTCCCTGTTACTACAGTTCAGGCCTCATTTTGATTTTTGTTGAAACTACATATGCCAGTATTATCTATGAATTTCACTTTGGGACAATAAAGGGTTGATCATACAATATTCATTCTACTAAGGGGAGCTTTGGGTCTGATAGAGCTGAACCACTGGGCTATCCATACACACCAGTGATGATCCTCCCTGGGTGACAGGTGACAGGTGGAGGGAAGAGCTTTTGCTGTCTTCTCAGGGAGGCATCTTAAAGTACAAAGTTGAGTTGAAAGCTGGTATCTTTCTCACCTTGTTTATGAACAGAGATTAAACCTCCTTGAGATCCAATAAAGGATAATGGTTATGGTTAATACAACATCTGGTTTCTAAATGTTCTTTCCTTCGCCCTGTGATGGGCTGAGATGATTTTGAAAAGAATAAAGCAATCACTAAAAACAAAAACAGATGTAAATTGGATTGGAGACAATTGCAGCAGTGCATCAGAAGTAAAATTCGACCTTAGATTTCAAGTGAAGTAGGAAATGTGGCCTTAAAAGGGAGGTGTCTCTTTTTAATGGTTTACTACTAGAAAAGTAAAACATTGAGCAACTGTCCTATGATTTCCTAATGCAACTTTGTTTCTTTAACTCAGTGGCTCCTGCTTAGCCCTTGACCTCCTCCACTCCAGAGAGAACAGTGAGGAGAATCTCTCTCTAAATGGAAATTGGAGGGTGAGGGTGTGATGGTCTCGGTTGGTGGCTATTTTTCCATATGAGTGCTGTGGCTGACCCCTCACTTCACCTCACACCCATGGCACTCTCCTCTCCCACCCCAAATCTCTCAAACACGCAAGAAAGAGAGGGAAAGGAAGAGAAACTGTGTCAAGGGAGACAACACTAACAGGGTTAATACCCAGGACTGTGCTGCCCCCAATTTGACCCAGAGCTCTGAATTCAGCCACTCTTGCAGAACCTAAAGCTCTCAAAGATAGGGTTACGCACCCAAAGACCAACTTATCTCCTTATTTCTTCTGTCTCTCTCTGCTTTAAAAGTCATTTGGAAATGGAAACATTTTGATCACCCCCACCTCACCCAAGCCAAATGACTGCAAATTCTCTTCTGGTATCTGGCCTGCTGCAGCCATAGTAAAAGGTACAGTGAAATAATGCCATCCTTATTTCTGCTGGAATATACTAGTTATTTATCTGTTTGCTGTCATCAATTGCTTTTCTCTATTTCCCAGCATCCCTCCACTGCTCTGTTTCACAAGGAACTACATTCCCCAGCCCCTGTGTTCTCCGCTTCCTGGGCAGGTTTGACTAATAGGAGGCACTAACAAAATCACGTGCAGGAGGAAGGAAGGAAGGAAGTAGGGTATTTCCGCCCTTTTCTCTTGCAGCCCCAAGTAACATCTTTGGCAGTAATCACAGTTCTTCCCTCCATGGTTCCTCCCCCGACCCCCATTCCCCCGCCCCCACACCCCTGTGACAGCACCCTGTCCCCTATCCGTCCAGGTGGGTTTTCTCTGATGGGAGCACCCCCTCCACTCCGTGTCTCTCTATGCCTAGGGATGGTAGTGACTTCCTGATAGTGTTCATCACTGCTTGAATCCCCTTTCTTATTTGTCTGCTCATCCCTTCCATCGCCTGTATTAAATACCTTGTTGAAAATACCTAGGATGATTTCCGCTCCCCTTCTGGGCCCTAAGTAATAGCCACAAGAATAACATAACGGTAAGAAGCCTGAGCACTGAAACCAAGCAGGCACAGGCCTGTGTTGCAGTTCTGGCACTTACAGCTGTGTGCTCGAACAAGTCAAAACAACTTCCGTGAGCATCAGTTTCCTCTTTTGTAAAATGGCAACAATAGTAATCATATCATATCCCTCATTTGGTATTTGAAGATTAAGCATTACCATGCAATAGTTCCTAGGTTTCTAGATTTCTCAAAATAATGGCATTTGCAATAATAATAATAGAGACATTTGCAAGAAATGGATATAAGCTGCGAAAATCTTTACTTGGCTAACGTAAGCACATTTTTAAAAAATCAGTCATCACCATTATTTCATCACAAGGGAATTCATTCCATAGTATGGCTATATTTTAAAATAAAGAGCAGTTTCTTAAATTTAATAAATTAGCTCTACAAAAACTGATCACATTGGCTGAGTCTATTTCCATCTTTTTGGTTTCTCTGTGTCTAGAGGAAAGCTCAGTTCAGCACTGGCCTGTTGACCAGCTCTTGTTCAGTGTGGCTCCTGATATTTATTGTCACTACTTCAATTGTTATTATTAAAAAAGCAAAGATTAACTAAGGCTCTAAAACACCCAAAGGCAGCATCCTCACCATTGGTTTTGCCATACCCTATTCTATGTACACTCTGAGTCACA